AAAGAGACAGAGAGGGTGATGAGGGCTGGGGACTGCAACGTACAGGGTGGTCTACATTTCTTGTGACCCCCATTTAATTCTCTAAAACGTCATGCAGTACTTTTAAAGTGAGGTTTATTTAAAAATGAAGTTAATATACAAAGGAAAAGCATGTTAGGGGACAATAAATTGGGGGGGGGGGTCACAAGACATCTGGACCGCCCTATACACAATGGGGCCGGCTCGGCGAGGTCTGAGTCAGCGGGGCGCGCCCGCGCATTCCGCATCCCCGCACCCCGCAACTGCAAAAAATGTTGTCTCTTGTCGACGAGTACAACTCTGACGGTGCTGCCTGTTGCTGCCCGCTTTCCGTTTTCGGGCCCGGTGTTCGGCCACGTGTGGTTTAAAAACGAACCTCACATTTCGTCGATTGGTGAAGAAAATCTGGGCTCATACCCAATCAGAGACAACATTGATTCTACTGTTTTAACACACGTGAAAAGGTCGTGTAAGAATACACGTTTAAAACGTGTGTAAAAGTACATGCATTACATGAGTCAAATATTATCCCTTTAGTCTGTTTGTTCTGTGGATTGGCAGCAGGCACGCTAAGAGTACACCTCGAAAGTGTACCATTTTGGTATTTTGCATAAATGAATAAAGTTGGTTAAGCTTCTTTACCCAGGAAAGCCTCAATAAGTCTCCACTCTTTTGCAGGTGGTTCCTGCCTAGTTTTTACAAGGAAGAGCGATGTTGCTATGTTTAAATCCCAATTTCGTAATTTTATCATCAAAGTGTTTGGGCCAATATCAGTTCCACTGCGCGTGTATTTTGTTTAGCTATGGGAGGACACCTGAGAAAACCCATGCAGAACAGGGAGAGAACATGCAAACTCCACACAGAAACCATTGGAAACCTCATTTGCCAGCAACAAAATATGATAATTGTTTTTTACCCTTTTATCTGGCAACAAAACTGACACCTTTTTTTACAAGGAGTCATGTTTACATTGACCACAATACCTGCGGTCGGAACGCAAACAAAAAACAACAACTCTGATAATGTATGCACTGTCCTTGAAATTGATTGGTCCACACCTGAGACAGCTTTCTTTAGAGCCTCGTCTCACATGGTGTTTGACCAGAAGATGCCAAAAGGCGCACAACTCAAAGACAATGCACCATCAGAGTATGAGAGCTCGGGGTAAGCATTTACACCATTGGAAACCTCATTTGCCAGTAACAAATATGATAATTGGTTTTTTACCCTTTTATCTGGCAACAAAACTGACACCTTTTTTTACAAGGAGTCATGTTTACATTGACCACAATACCTGCGGTCGGAACGCAAACAAAAAACAACAACTCTGATAATGTATGCACTGTCCTTGAAATTGATTGGTCCACACCCGAGACAGCTTTCTTTAGAGCCTCGTCTCACATGGTGAGAAAGGTGCCCGAGTCGTAAATCGAACCCAGGTCCCCCTTGCTGCAGAGCGCAACTTCCACTCTGCCACTCTGCCACTGGAGTTCGTCGTGCTTGGGTTCAAAATGAAATGCATTCCTCAACAGCTTCTGTTTGGCCAGAGGGGGTTAAACGAGTACGGCAGAGATGGGCTGATGTGGTACAGAATGATTTTGAGCTGAGTGGACTTTCCAATGTGACCTGTACTAGCAGTGTCAAGATTGGCCTTGATGGAGGGGGCACATGAAGGATGCTACTGGGAAGTTGGAGGCAGTCGCTCGCCCTCCAACAACAGCGGAGGGCAGAGGAGCGACGCTCAAATAGAGCGGAGCGCTGGGCGGCTAAGACACAGAAATTTGGCGCAGTGGGGAGCACAAGGTGGTGCATTTGTTAGCCATCTCGGCCAGTCAACCATCTCGGTCAACCAAAAGCACCTGGGTCTGTCCCATGAGCTGCCAGCTGCGAGCCTTTGACACTTCACGTAGCCTCAAAGTGCACCTAGCCTGGTACAATTGCTGTGGTGCGTCACCGCCACTTTGTGGAGAATGGCTGTTGTTATGGTGCGCCTGTGTGGGTGTGTTTGTCGGTGTCTAGTGTAGACGTCATGGACGACTTGAGACCGCTCCCGACCGTCCTCACGATCTCGCAATCCCCTTGTGTGGAATCGGACGTGCGGTAAATCTCAGCCACCGCGTTAGGACGTTCGGTTCTCGGGCCAGAGTTTTCACCGCTTACGTTTTCTTTTCTCAACAGTTGCTGCAAGTCAACATTGGGGGGGGGGGGGCAAACCTTCCAGGGGGTCTGGGCCCCCACCCCCCCAGAAAAAAAATCTAAATTTGTAACAGAATATCATGCCATTTCCTGCCTCAAATATAAAAAAATTCACTAACACATAGGATTGACTTTTTGTTTTACAATAATGTCTAATAGTGTATTGTATTACATTGCTCTGTTTTTTTCTTTTTTACCTTTTTTCTTGTTTCATTGTATGTAATGGCAAAGAAAAGGGATTCATAAAGTACACCAATAACCACAATCATATAAACATAAATCTTTTTTATAGCAATATATTGGGGGGGATATTTTGAGCATATTTGAATATTGTGTCCCCCCCATATATATTATAATTACGGCCTTGAGTTGCTGAGCAAAGGCCCAACACGTAAATTGCCCTACAATACATCGCGCCACCAGAGTGGCAACAAAATTGTCGTGATATTGAGTAAGGCTATATATGAGCAGAGGAAACAATTCCAAGGTGAAGTAGTGCGAGGGAAGAAGCAGAAAGTGTTGTACTTGGCAGTGGTGGCTCAAGGCCAACAGCTCGGTAACCGTGCTGCGATAATTGCTGGACATTTCCTTAAGCACGGCAAACTGATATGTGGTGTTTTACAAGTTTGTACCATTACAATACCACAATAGAGGTGCACTTAAAGTCACACGTCAGTCTAAAGAAAACATGGTTTGGAGATGATCCATGAAAAAGGTTTATGTAAAAAATATATATACGATACAATACAGCACAATAGATGTTACTTATTGTGGGGCCACCGGGGTTGACACGATCACAATGGAATTATATATATTTATTTATCCAGGAGAGCCAAGCTGAGTCGTAAGACTCATTTTCAGGAGGGTCTTGCATTGGGTTTTTATTTTAAAATATTTCAGCCATTTGGTGATGATTTGTTTATTATACAAGTTGGAGAAAACCGGAGCACCCTGAGAACCTTCTGCCTTGTGTGAGGGGGCAACGCTCTATCCCCGTGTAGATAGGAAGAGATGGCGATTCGTCGACTTGCTGTACTGCCTTCTCCGGGTAATCCAGGTACGGCTGTTCCTCGACGCCCGCGGGAAGGGAGTTCTACACCATCTGTGCGGTGATCCACCAACCCTCGCTGCTGCCTCCACACTGCCGGATGATCACCGGACAGGTGGAGAGTGGCCACCACCAACCGCCCGGCCTCACGCGATGGAGCCGCGGAGGGCCTGACAACTATTAGCTCCGGCGTCAGCCTCACGGGACAAATAACCCCCGGGTAGCCATAACAGACTGTTGGGGCAAGTGTTGTTTAAGAGCCGTACCCATATGATGGTTGGCACGGCACACGAGGGGGTGGGTGGCCAGCAGCACGCCCGGCTGCCTTTGTCTCCCCATTGGAGAATGTTTATTACCCACCGCACCAGTTTCAGTTTTCAGTTGCATTTATTTGGTATAGCCCTGTGAGCCATTCGGCTCTTGAATCGGGTGCAACCGCAACAAACAAAAACATGAACAAAAAAACATCTTAAAGTGACTATGTGACTGTGCAAACAGAAAATCCAGGAAAAAACAGCAGAATATTCGAGAAAAAGCACCGTACACCAATGCTGTGTGCAAAAATCCCAGTGAGATGCAAGTCAAACAATAACAACAACCACAAGACAACTTAGATTAAGGCCATCAGTCTAACTCCGTACTACAACAAACAAACATGTCCAAACCAAAAAACGTTTCGAAATCACCAAAATAAAGCCATAAAAGCAATGTAACAGTGATCATAGGAACTGTGACCAAATTTTCACAATAAACGACGTAAACAACATTTACGACCAAACCCTGCAGCCAGCCAGCTACATGAGTCACTCCACAACAGCAGGAGCATTAGTCGGAAGTATCAACTTTTTCAATGCACCTTTAAGATCAGCACACGAAATCAAAATACAGATAATACTTTGCAGCGGTCATCCGGAGTGAAACATTTTATTTTATTTTAGGCCACTGAATAGCAGTGGCAGCTAGGGGTGTACAACTCCTCTAGAGCAGTTTTGAGTGAAGATCTCATAAGTAGTGATTCAAGTTGCAGTTTATTGGCAATAGCATTCCAGGTGCTCATTTGAGGCCGAGTCGACCTTTGGGGCCGAGTCGACCTTTGGGGCGTTGGGCCGTGAGCGCGCTAACCACAACAACAGCCACACGGCCCCACCGCCCGCTTCGTGTCGTCAGCCTGGCGGTCCGTTGAGGCGTGACGGCACCGACGCAAACATCCAGCCTCAAGTGTGTCAACACAGGCGCGGCGTTCATCGCAGCTGTTGGGGGAGGGGGGATGAGGAGGAGGGGGATGAAGAGGGGGGAGGGAAGGGGGAGGAGGGGGGGGAAGGGAGGAGGGGGGGAAGAGGGAGAAGGGTGGGGTGGGGGGGAAGGGGGGAAGGGTGGGGGGAAGGGGGGAAGGGTGGGGGGAAGGGGGGAAAGGGGGGGGAAGGGTGGGGGGAAGGGTGGGGGGAAGGGGGGGTGGGGGGAAGGGGGGGTGGGGGGGAAGGCTGGGGGGAAGGGGGGAAGGGTGGGAGGGTGGGGGGAAGGGGGGGAGGGTGGGGGGAAGGGTGGGGGGTGGGGGAAGGGTGGGGGGTGGGGGAAGGGTGGGGGGTGGGGGGAAGGGTGGGGGGTGGGGGGAAGGGTGGGGGGTGGGGGGAAGGGTGGGGGGGTGGGGGGAAGGGTGGGGGGTGGGGGGAAGGGTGGGGGGTGGGGGGAAGGGTGGGGGGTGGGGGGAAGGGTGGGGGGTGGGGGGAAGGGGGGGTGGGGCTCCCGGCTCGGAGAGGGAGAGGCGGAAACCCACCCGTGCTGCGTGGAGGCGCAAGGTAAAAACGTCGCGGGGCAGGAAGGAGGCGCTCAGAGCCACAAGAAACCTTGAGCCGCGAGGCTGGACGAACAAGGAGCCGTACCCGTGGTAAGAACCCAGCGGCGATCGCCTCACGCCACAGTTGTCGTCTCCCGGGTTTGACCCGGATGGGTGGCCATCGGCGTTTGTGTTGCGCCGCGAGAGCTCGCTTCGTGCCGTGAGGTGGTGATGGAACCTGCGTGGCCGTGTTAGCCGGCAGTTGCCAAGTCCCAACATCGCTCTGGTGAGGGTGGGTCGACCTCCCCCTCCAACGCGGAGTCAATGCGCTGAGTCGAGCCCTCCAACAAGCGACTGTTACCCTACACGAATATAACTGCTGATGAGACCCAGTGAAGTCGAACACGCCGTTTAAGTGGCATTTGGAAACCATTTACCCGCAAGGTCAATAGATGGTGGTTGCTTTGGGACGTTCCTATGGATAGTGGGGAGCGGTGGCGTAGTGGTTAGCGCGGTGGCGCTATGAACCTGGCGACCCGAGTTCGATTCCCGGTCACGGCCATCGCCGGTGACGATTATCTGAACCGGTCCGAGGGCCTCCCATAGGTCGACTCAGCCTCAAATGAGTCCCTAGTGCGGTGTGTAAACATCGCCACTAGGGAGACAAAGGCGGCCGGGCGTGGTGTTGGCTACCCACCCCCTCGTGTGCCATGCCGGCCTCCATAGGTACTCGCTAACGGCACTTGGCCAAAAAGTATGTTAAGGCTACACGGGGGATCTTTGTCTTGTCTATGGAAAGGCTCGCCTACGCAAGACTCACCGCCATAGGAACGCATAGGAACGTATAATTTCCACCTGTGGTTCAAGGCTGTGCACAGGTCATTATTGATGCTATAGTTGTCTTTGTGTATTCGGCTGTTGCGTAGTTTCTAGTGCTGTGATATTGGTAATATTAGTGGTGGTAATATTGTTGGTGTTGTGATTGTGGTAATGTGGAAGGTGTTGTGATGGTGTTTAAGGTGGTAATATTGATGGCATTGTTGAGGTGACAGGTTATGGTTTCAGTGGCCATAAGAATCATAAGCATGGTGCATCATCACTAGTTTTTACATTGCACACGGATATTCTCATCCTCCCCGTGTCCTCGACAGAATCCCATCCACAGCACAAGCAGACCCAGGCTCGGTTCATAACCTGGCCCTTCTTCAGCAGCAGCAGGACCACAGCTCAATTCCCAACATGATGAAGCGAACGAGCGTGCAGCTGCCCGAGAGGAAGAGGTTCTCGTTGGATAAGCGCTGGACGCGGAGCTACTCGGAGGACCTGTCAGGCAGCGTCTCCTCAGGCGTCCCCATTGTGCTGCGGCTCCCGCGCGAGTACCGCAGCTTCTCGGTGCTGTCCAGCAGCTCGGCCGTGCTACCCACCAACTCCACATGCAACTGCCAGGTGGGCATCCTGCCCCTGCGTAACTTCCTCGCGCTCATGGCCGACGACTTCAAGGAGGGACCCGGCCGGGTGTTGACGGTCAACACGGAAGGTCCCGGTGGCTTCATGCTCATCAGCGGCGGGGGCTTCAGCATGGACGGCCAGCACCACACACTCGTCAACTACCTGCCCAGGTGAGCAGGAGCCGCCACTTCCCGACAACCTCCCCGCAGCAAAGCCGTCGTACACGTCACGCATATGGGCAAGCAAAGTGGTCGGCCAGCTATCGTTTCGCCGTGTAGTGTATAACAATAGTCATGATTTGTTCTTGATGAGAATTCCCCTCCGTTACTCCAGGGCATCTTTGAGCGCTTTACACGCGATAAGTGACTTGCATCTGGTGTCGAACGTTTGAAAGTTCACACCAAGTGTCAGCTGGCCCTGTGTGCACATGGTGACTCGGCACAGGCCTGAAATTGGGCATTCATCTCCAAGTAGGGGGTGATGATTGCTTTAATCCCAATTTAATAGTTTGCAAGTAACTTTATAATTTGGCAGATTTGGACCGTAACACCAGCACAGAGTGGTCTACTCCCTGTGTGTGTATGCATGTTGTATGTAAGGGTGCCATGGTGGCGAGATGTTAACTACCTCACCTGGTAAACGGGAGGGCATGGGTTCAATCCCGACCCTGATGCTTGTATATTTGGAGATTGCATGTTCTCACTGTGATCGTGTGAATTTTCTCCGGGTCCTCTGGCTTTTTCCTCCACATTTAGAATCATATGTTTGGAGTATTAGACTGCTTTAAATGTCCATATGTTAAGCCACTTAGTTGAGCTATCTTTTGTGGCCAGGTCACTTTTGAAAAGGAGCTTTATAGCCCAGTGAGTCTTACCTTGTAAAATAAAAAATAATAGTTTTATGTGTGTTGACCTTCTTTCGCACCGTACGTAGCCAACCGTGCTAATCTGAGGTGTATGCTATCTATGTGTATATAAAGTGTGGTTCTTAAGGCTAAAACGTATTTCAAAGTGTCGGTACACATGTTTAGTGTTCTGAGAAGTGCCGGCACTGTATATAGAAATATTGTTTAGAATTAGAATATATAATAGAATATTATTTTAAATGAAAGGCCATTCCTCAATTTGTGTTCAAAAGATAGCAACATCTTTACAGAAAACACGTTTGTTATTATTTTTACGCTTTATTTACTCAGGAAAGCCATAACTTGGCCAAAGAGTTCGGTTGGCTGAGTTATAGCAGTTACACAAATAGTGGATGGGCTGAACAAAGAAACGCATGTCACCTCAATAAAACATGTCCCAAATGCATGTAACACTTTTAGTAATTGGCTGTTTAGGGTGGGGGAGGGTATACAATGCACATTTTTACATACAACCTTATACAAATAAACCATTAATGAATCAGAATATTGATTGTGAAAGCCAACATATAATAAATACATACAATATTGCTGATATTCGCCAAGATATTCCAATGCTGAACATTTTACCTGCAAATTCCTCAATTGGGATCACACGCAGCAGCAACATTGGTGCTCTTCTGAAAACCTGGCAGGAAAAAATAAAGTCTTGAGACTTGGTGAGACTTTCCTGGGTAAACACACGTAGTAGTAATAATAATTAATACAAATACAAATGAACGTTATGAAGATTCGTCTGATTTTTTTACACTGCTTATAAAATGCTAAACAACTCGGGTGGATCGTCCCGCGCACACGCTACATTGCCTGCGTGTTGTGCGTCCTGCAGAAAGTACGTGACTCGCTCGCTCCCGGAGTACACGCAGTACCGCGAGGCCATCACAAGCAAACCCCTCGCGTTCTTCATCACCGTGAAGGCCATGCGTCACGGCACACCTGAAGGTGAGCGGTGCTGTGCGTGTGTACAGTAGGGGAGTGGCGGCGTAGCGAGCGGTTCACACTGTGCTGCGCTATGAACCCGGCCACCCGAGTTCGATTCCCGTTCACGGCCACCAACACCAGTGACGATTATCCGAAGCAGTTCTGGGCCTCCCCTAGGTCGACTTGGCCTTAAATGAGAACTTGGTGCCGTGTGTAAACATCGCCACTGGGGAGACAAAGGCGGCCGGGCGTGCTGCTGACCACCCACCCTTTCGTCTACCCTTCCGATCTTCAACCCTTCCGATCTTCAAAAGTCTGTTAAGGCTTTGTGGATAAGCAAAATCACAGATCAGTAGCATTGTCATAATATGCATGTTTTCTTATCTTTAATACTGTGAATAGTCAAAGTTGGAATGATCTCCTGCTTATGTGAGCATTCAGGCAGCGTTCATATCCTGTTTACAACCCTGAGCCATTGGTGTAAATTCCACATTCCTATAGCAAGGGCAATTAAAACCATAAGACAACCACTTTTGACTTTCCCATGAAGTGGGAATCATTTTATTGACTGACGGGATGATGAGTCCTCCCCCAACCAGGGGTTGAATAGAACCTAGCAATTATGTTCGTTCCACTTGTAAACACTCATTAATCGGTTTTAAAACATCTTCACTGAGGACTGCAGACCTTGGGGAAAGTGTTGGTGCCGGCTCACTGTCTCGCTGCCTTCCCACTTGTCTGTGATTCCTTCAGTGAATGCGAGATACCATTTTCACCACCGACGCTGTGTACAATGAAATATGGGCGTCATCGGGGCGAGAACGTGACGACGCACCTTCGCAGGTGTTCGGCACGAGTCTCAATGCATTCGTGCTGCCCTGTGCTGTGAAAGCAAATGCGTTTACACGTGGAGTTTGTAACCCGCGCCTTTTCAGATCAGGACTTTGCCGTGCTGCTCAACACACGGCACCCTAATATGCGCCACCAGCTGATCAAAGCCATGGACAATGTCATCGCGTCCATCTCTGGAGAGAGCTATGTGTTCGAGGTATGTCGGCTCCTGCTCTGTTTTGTATATGATGTAGCTTACGTCCAACTCGGACTCATTATGTTGGGAAGGGTCCTTGCCTATAAACGCTTAGCAGTTCACCAGCATTGGTTCAAGCAAGCCTGACTGCTGATGAGACACTGAATGTCTAAACCAGTCCTTGCCTATAAACATTGCAGTCCATTTGTTTTTGCTTGCTGCATACAAGAAGCAGGCAATTCAGTTATACAACACAACATTATATTTGTATTATGGTTCTGTATTGCAATGTAAGTATTGACTTTAGACTTTTCAACTTCTTGGATGGCAGGGTAGGTAGTGCAGTGGTAACACTCGTGCCTCACAGCAGGAAGAACCTGGGTATGATTCCTGATTCGGCACCTTTCTCTGTGTTCTCCACCTGTTCGGCGTGGGTTTCCTCCGGGTTCTCCGGTTTCTTCCCACAGCTGCAACCACACACATCACTATGCCATTGATGTTAACCAAACATCCAAATGCCACAGGACCCTCTGGAAAAAAAAAATGTTTGGACTCGTGGCTTTCCTGGGAAAATAAAGTATTATTTTTATTTATGAAGGATATGTGTGTGTGTATTTACTACTATAGTGAGCCAAGAATGTCTGTGTGTCCCGCGTGTGATGTCACTCCACATCGAACAGCCCCCCTCATTAATAATCATGAAGAGGTGACGTCTTTCAAATGGACACCCCCCCCCCATTAATATTTAGAGGGTGACGTCACTCCACATGGGGGGGGGTGAGGCGCCTCTTACCCCCTCCTCAGCCTCAACTTACAACCCTCACTGCAAAAGCAGAACCCTCACGTCATGCGATCTCCGTAATGCTATTGAGACATAGAAGTAAAAAGGATGTCATGATGAACAAGGGATTATAACCTTTAAATGAAATAAGTCTGTGTCACCGCGGCCTTACAAATTGCACACAAATTGATGCAATTGATTTCACGTTGAGGTCTGCTTTTCGCTTGCAAGTTTCAGATTTACTGAAATACACCCGTCCTTGGACGGGCAAAAGGCTAGTATATATATGTTTTTCCATTCTTGATCAACAGGTCAGCCTGGAGAACATTGTCAAAGATTTCTTCAGTTCCAAGGAGGGCTATGCCAAGGACATCCCGCTCCCCGGCCTCCGCTTCACCTTGCAATACGAGACGGACGCACTCTTTGACATTGCTTACTGGTTGGGCTACAACAAGCGGGCATTGGTGATCAAGGGGACGCCTGCCTACTTGACCTGCAGCAGTGAGGAGAAACGCACCAGGGTTAAGCAGCTGCTGGAGAAGATGAAGGAGGAGCTCGTGCGCCCGGGCAGCTCGGGCAGCTTGGACAGCGACAACGGAATGCCCAGGCAGCCCCAGAAGCAAGGTCAGGCGGCGCTGCTTCTGCTTTAACGACACTTCCATGTACAGTGAGGGAAAAAAAGTATTTGATCCCCTGCTGATTCTGTACGTTTGCCCACTGACACAGAAATGATCAGTCTATAATTTTAATGGTAGGTGTATTTGAACAGTGAGAGACAGAATAACAACAAAAAAATCCAGAAAAACGCATGTCAAAAATGTTATATATTGATTTGCATTTTAACGAGGGAAATAAGTATTGACCCCTCTGCAAAATATGACTTAGTACTTGGTGGCAAAACCCTTGTTGTGGCAATCACAGAGGTCAGGCCTTTCTTGTAGTTGGCCACCAGGTTTGCACACATCTCAGGAGGGATTTTGTCCCACTCCTCTTTGCAGATCTCCTACAAGTCATTAAGGTTTCGAGGCTGACGTTTGGCAACTCGAATCTTCAGCTCCCTCCACAGATTTTCTATGGGATTAAGGTCTGGAGACTGGCTAGGCCACTCCAGGACCTGAATGTGCTTCTTCTTGAGCCACTCCTTTGTTGCCTTGGCCGTGTGTTTTGGGTCATTGTCATGCTGGAATACCCATCCACGACCCATTTTCAATGCCCTGGCTGAGAGAAGGAGGTTCTCACCCAAGATTTGACGGTACATGGCCCCGTCCATCGTCCATTTGATGCAGTGAAGTTGTCCTGTCCCCTTAGCAGAAAAAACACCCCCAAAACATAATGTTTCCACCTCCATGTTTGACGGTGTGGATGGTGTTCTTGGGGTCATTGGCAGCATTCCTCCTCCTCCAAACACGGCGAGTTGAGTTGATGCCAAAGAGCTCTATTTTCACCCAGTTGTCATCTGAATCATTCAGATGTTCATTGGCAAACATCAGACGGGCATGTTTATTTGCTTTCTTGAGCAGAGGGACCTTGCAGGCGCTGCAGGATTTCAGTCCTTCACGGCGTAGTGTGTTACCAATTGTTTTCTTGGTGACTATGGTCCCAGCTGCCTTGAGATCATTGACAAGATCGTCCCGTGTAGTTCTGGGCTGATTCCTCACCGTTCTCATGATCATTGCAACTCCACGAGGTGAGATCTTGCATGGAGCCCCAGGCCGAGGGAGATTGACAGTTCTTTTGCGTGTCTTCCATTAGTGAATAATCGCACCAACTGTTGTCACCTTCTCACCAAGCTGCTTGGCAATGGTCTTGTAGCTCATTCCAGCCTTGTGTAGGTCTACAATCTTGTCCCTGACATCCTTGGAGAGCTATTTGGTCTCGGCCATGGTGGGGAGTTTGGAATCTGATTGATTTATTGCTTCTGTGGACAGGTGCCTTTTATACAGGTAACAAGCTGAGATTCGGAGCACTCCCTTTAAGAGTGTGCTCCTAATCTCAGCTTGTTACCTGTATAAAAGACACCTGGGAGCCAGAAATCTTTCTGATTGAGATGGGGTCAAATACATATTTCCCTCATTAAAATGCAAATCAATTTAACATTTTTGACATGCGTTTTTCTGGATTTTGTTGTTGTTATTCTGTCTCTCACTGTTCATATAAACCTACCATTAAAATTATAGACTGACCATTTCTTTGTCAGTGGGCAAACATACAAAATCAGCAGGGGATCAAATACTTTTTTCCCTCACTGTACATATATATTTATGTTTACAAGAAAGGGGTGTATATCTAGAGAAAGTGTAATTTTCTACTCACCTTGTTACTTAAATATTCTCAAACAACGACGCGAGCGATTGTTGCGTTTGAGTTCCGAATAGTTCTGCATCAAAGTAGGATGTGTATCTTAGCAGAAAGCGTCCTTGCCTATAAACATCTTCCAGTTAGCCAGCATTGTTTTAAGCAAGCCCGACTCATCAGCAAAGTTTGGCTCGCTTGAATCAATGCTGGCAAATCACCGCCATCGGTGCAGCTCAGTGCTCTGACTTTGGCCACCTACCAATGAGATAATCTTGATAGACTGAGCTGAACAAATGGTTTTCTTCGTTCAATGTTGATTTGTATAAAATGTGTTGAGTGCAATTCCTGTTGTCTTCCAGACTCCATCCTGGAGGAAGATGAGGGTGCGGAAGATGTGTTTGCGTCATCGTCCCCGCGTGCAAGCCTCGTATCCAGTGGGAATAACTGACCACCATAGCCGCTCTGTTTAGACGTCCCACACTGCAATCCGAGACGGCTTGGTCTCAAACGTGCCATCACTAGCCGAAGAACGACTGCACAGATCTTGCTAGAAATCATCTTGTGAAATACTACTTTCTGAGTAAGTGGTAATGAACAAATCCTTTTCCGTGACCTGCGCAGCAGGGTGGCGCAGTGTTAACACTCATTCCCCGCAGCAAGAACGGCCTATGTTTGATTCCCAATTCGGGCGGCGCCCGTCTATGTGGGGTTTGTATTCTGTCCTGTTCTGCGTGGGTTTTCTTCAGGTTCTCTGAATAAAATGTATACATACAGTAGACTCTCGATTATCCACTTGCAGTTTATCCAATTTGCGGATTAACCTCGCACCATAGATGTTGACGTAAATTAAGCCCAAGTTAATAATCTAAAAACAATTATACATTGTTATTCTTGGAAATGTTTATTACAAGTAATGTGCTTAAACCGAACAAATATATTGCTCCGGTTAATGCAAAATCCATGAGATCGCCTCGACAGTACAGCAGTTGCAGATCTTTACAACAGTGGGCAGAGTTGGATGTTGATTGGTGTTGCTCTGTTATCATTCACTTCATGGGCAGAGCACACATATCGATCGGTCGGTTATTCTCTCAAATTTTTTGTTTTGCTTATTAACAAATTTCTTAATTTAAACATAACTTATACCCCTACATTAGTGGTTTTTGGCATAGAGATCCGGAGACAATAGATGTTTTTGGATTATCCGCGATTTTGAATTATTATCCGCGACCGTCCTGCCCGTCACTAGCGTGGATAATCAAAAGTCTACTGTATACCGCATTGAACACATTGTAATACGAATTGGCAAATAAATTTGTACCTTTAAAACCATTCATAGTATAATTAATTATAGAAACATTCAAATGGTACCGGGGTGATGATTGCACTTGCGTTTAAATGGACAAGTAGACATTTCAAGTGTGTATATAGGGAGATATGACAGTCGATAAAGTCAACAAGCGCAAAACCTCTCGAAACCTACAGTGTCCATCTCCACAGACAAGAGCTTGCGTGTCTGAGTATCAGTCGTGTAGGTTTGAAGTCGTGGTCACATCATCTGCCGGTGGTGATGTTGTGATGTAAGTTTTTAAAAAGAAAAAGGAATTTAATTTTATTCAGAGTGGGCTATTGTATACATATTCATCTCTCTAAAAGTACACTCGAATGAGTAGGTACTTCGAGTGCTGTCCATGCAATGAGACATCCTCTGAACCAGGTGTACATTTTATGTATGGGTATCCCTCGATTTACGAAAGGGATGCGTTCTTCAACATTCGCACGTAAAACGAAATTTCATAAATCGGAATGGCTTTTCTCATTAATTTAATAATAAAACTTAGGGATGTGTATCAGGCAGTCAGTCCAGCTCTACTGCCAGCCTAAAAAATGACACCTATATCACTTTTCTCAGTACAAAAATAATAAAGAACATGAATATGAAAACAATTGAATAATAATTCATTAAACACAAAAAAATTACAGTTTTCATGGAAATTCCGAAACGATCTGTTGCATGTTGGAATGACTGGCAAGGCGATGTGTAGGCGTTACTGTTGCACTGCAACGACACCGTGACGCTGTCGTGGATGGCTGATGCGTGCTGTAGTGAAATTTCGCTCGTGGGAAGATCGATTTAGTCAATCTGAAATAGTCCGTAATTTGTCAATTGTGTTAACGCGAAATTTCGTAAACTAAACGTTCTTAAATCGAGGGATACCGGTTTGCAAAAACGACAATGTAAAGATTTTTTGAAGAATTGTCTCAATCATGTTTTCTTGACAGTTCCACAGTGGGTCAAGGAGCCCAGACCAGATATTTCACTTTTAGGTACTACCTGAGGTGGCATAGCTTTTGCAGATTCCAATATCTTGATGTGGCCATTAGTACTGAATTGTGACAACCAATGAAAATGAGTGTGTTATAAAGTAATCCACTCTTATACCTGCGGTCAATATGCAAACATGATCCCTTGTTAAAAAAGGTGTCAGTTTTGTTGCCAGATAAAAGGGTAAAAAAACTATTATCATATTTTGCTCCTGGCAAAGAAGGTCTCATGATGTAAATGCTTACCCCGAGCTCTCAATACTCTGATGGTGCATTGTTTTTGAGTTGTGTGCCTTTTGGCGTCATCTGGTCTAACACCATATGAGACTGGGCTCTAACAAAAGCTGTCTCTGGTGTGGACCAATCAATTTAAAGAACAATGCATACATTATCAGTGCTGTTTTTGGTTTGCATTTTGACCGCAGGTATTGTGGTCAATGCAAACATGATCACTTGTAAAAAAAGGTGTCAGTTTTGTTGTCAGATAAAAGGGTAAAAAACCTATTATATTTTGCTACTAGCAAAGGTCTCATGATGTAAATTGTAGTGACTTAAGCTTCACTACCTTGAGCGGTATTTCTGCTCTGGCCCGTGGATTACAAAAATAGGGATTTGTGCTGGCATGTGTGGTGGCTGGGTGTGTGGAATGTGAATATTTGAACGTATTGTCAGTACACCGGTGGTGGTGCGTGGTATAAAAAAATAAAGCATTTTTTTTATTTCAGGAAAATAAAAAAATAAAGCATTTTTTTATTTTCCTGAAATTTGCAACCTCGGGTCAGGAAACCTTGCAGGCTGGTGTGTCAAAAGCGGTTCTCGTGATGTCGAAGCAGTCGGAAGATGAACGTCATGAGCAGCTGAACACGAAGCTTCACAGCCTGTTGCCATTTGCAGCACCCAGCCTGACGAAGATTGGCTGCTCCCTGTTCCAAAGGCAGATTTGACTCCTCGTGCCCTAGACTTGGTCGGACGGTTCCTCGATTCATTTCCGGAATAATTTCTTGGAGGACTGTGGCATAAAACGATTACGACTCATGGTGTCGCCACACGTTCGAATGGGAAAGCAGCTGCTGAATCAAAGGTAACTTCAGATTGTAAGTCTGCAGCTCACTCAAGGGCATCATGGACATTGTCAGAATGTTTTATGAGGACCTCGCTGTGTTATGCTGCACCGGTGTACCGCCAATGCCTCCAAATGTTGGTTGGCTACATGAGGATTGATTGTAAATATGTTTGGAGATGTGAGCCACCGTAATGCAAACGTATTGGTTATGCTGTATATGGGTACTTTATATGGGTATGCTGTTTACGTATGCTTGTGAACGTGTTGTTTTCATACACCATAGTTTCCTGCTTGGTGCTCCTATTATAGCTTGAACATTAATGTACAGTGTTCATGCTGTAGTTTATAACTCGAGTTATATGAGAGCATTATAATTATGTAGACCGAATTTTTATGTCATTTGCACATGCAATTTCACCTCGGTCTACTTTGACTCCTGAAGGCATCTCTGGCATGAGCGTCGTGCTTGACCTATTATGTCATTTTAAAACAAGTAAACATTTTAAGGTTATCGTTTGTGAAAGCGCTGAGTTGGCAACCGCTGAGACCCCGGGTTCGAATCCAGGCAGCCAGCCGCATGCTATCAAAACCTTGTTCTCATGCCGATAGGCTTGATGGTCTCGCGGCCCAGTCAGCAGTGACTGCAAAAATCCACATCACATCACACCTGCACTTAATTTTGTTCAAAGGAGAGTTCCCGTGTGAGTGGGGAAGTGCTGCCCTCTAGTTGTGTGTACCGGAGGTCACTTCGAGGGTCCTCGGAGGTCGCGTGTTATCTGCTTTTGTGGGCCCTTCTGTATATGCAAGGGCTGCACCGTGAGGCTTCAGAATGGGGACTTTATATCACAACATGATACCAATAGCACAATAAGGAGGTCGGTTTTTAGAACCAGTGAGGTTGGTGGGTAAACGGATACATTTAAAAGTAGTGGCTATGCTGTATATCTGTTCATTTTTGGTGATTTAATTTTGTTGCGCTTTTGCCTTTACACATTTTTGTTCATAGTCAAATATAATAAACAAGGATTGTCTATCTGTAATTGTTTTGCCGTGATTGAGGAATATGGCTGCCTTGAATATGTTGGTTTGGTTATGTTTCAAGGGCTCAGGATATAAGGACAGGAGTGTTTCTTTTTTTGCACAACTCTGACGTTTGTAGAGAGGAACACATTGTACCCATGGCACAGTACGGGGAGTAGAGCCAGGGATGTCACGTGGGGAGAAAGACGAAAGGGAACGAAAGGATGCTGGAGCAAAAGTCCTCAAGACGGACAAAGAGGAGGGCACGGCGCAAGATGAGCAGCAGCAGGGAGAGATGAGGAGGGCGAGAAGGAATAATAGTTACTCCACTTCGCTCCCAGTGGAGCATAAGGCCGCAACAAGCCCACGCCATGCCGGACGGTCTTTAGCATTAGTTGGTCTTGAAAGAAGGAATAATAATACAGTACCTTCATTTTATATTGCGTCATTCATGCAAATTGCATCCTATAACGCTGTATAATGATCCTCAGGCCATTTTCGCCTTGGCTAATGGGAGTGTACATGACTTAACTATCAGAAAAATACTGAACACGAATGGTGTTCATGGAATGATAGCAAGGAGAAAACCACTGCTCTCCAAAAAGAACGTTGCTGCCTGTCTGAAGTTCGCCAAATAGCACATAGATGATCCACAACACTTCTGGAACAATATTCTCTGGACAGATGAGGAAAATAACTTTTTGGCCTAAAAGAGAAACGTTATATTTTGATTTAAAGCTTTCGTGACTGCAGTAATTCATATTCTTAGTTTTTTCGGTAAAGTCACGTTGAAGAGAAACAACAAAATAACAATATATATAAAACAATAACAAATTCTCACGACGTTTCGACCATAACTCAAACGGTCATCGTCGTGAGAATTTGTTATTGTTTGAGAAACGTTATGTTTCGTGAAAACCAAATACTGCCTTCGAACAGCAAAAATATCATCCCAACCGCCAAGCATGGTGGTGGGAATGTGGTTTGGGGCTGCTTAGCTGCCTCAGGACCTGGACGGCTTGCCAACATTGACAAAACCATGAATTCTGCATTGTATCAGAATATGCTAGAGGAGAATGTCAGGCCGTGAGCTGAAGCTGAACCGAAAGTGGGTCTTGCTGCAAGACAATGATCCTAAACATACAAGCAGATCTAAAAAAGAATGGCTGCAGAAGAAGAAATTCCACATTTTACAATGGCCTCGTCAAAGTCCGGACCTAAACCCCATCGAAATGTTGTGGCAGGACCTGAAAGGTGCTGTCCATGAAAGGCAACCCTCAAATATCACCGAGTTAAAGGAGTTCTGTAAGGAGGAATGGGCCAAAATTCCTCAAATCCGATGTGAGAGAATGACCAACGGTTCCAGGAAACGTTTAGTTGCAGTCATTGCTGCTCACGGGTGTCTCCAGTTACTCAATCTAAAGGTTCACAAACTTTTTGCACACATGGTTATTGAATGTCGAATCATTTGCGGATGAATAAATGTTGAAAGAGTGTTTTTGTTCATTTGTTTAATCGGATAATTTAAAAAATATATTTTATTAGGACTTAAATTGAGATCTAATATCATTTTAAGTTTGAAATGTGTGAAAATTCTAAGGGGTTCACACTTTTTATTGGCACTATATATAAAAGTGGCTATTGTATTATTGATATATTTCGCCGCATGCACTCTCTTGTTACCTGTAGAATTGAGATCAGGGTCGAATGGCGACGATACAAATGTCTTCATGAGTTGTCCACGTTTTTCAACGGTTTTACTTAACTTGACTCCTGTGTCGTGGTCAAATCGTCAAATCTTGTAATCTACATTTCGTCCACTTCCCGTTGTCCAATCAATCCCTAATTTTGCACACGTACTCAGATCCGGTGACAATGCATGCCTGTATCAAAATCGGCATCAAATAATGAATTAATTGGCTCCTTGAAAGCAATTAACGTTTTGTATGGACGACTTATTAATTATATATTTGTGGTGGTAAAAAACGCCGCGGTCCCTAAACTCTGCAATCGGCTTGCCCAAGAAGCAGGCGCCACGTGTCGCAGGCGCTCCTGCTCCGTGTCAACGAGATACAAAAGTTGTACATTGAAGATGCATGAATAAAATAACCTATTAATTCAAGTCAGCGTTGATGTGGGAGCAGGCGCGGCATCATTGACGTACTTCTCGATGGTGAGTTAAACGAAGTTGTGAAAAAAAGTTTAATTATATGTCGTGGTCAAATCTTGTAATCAAAATGTCGTCCAGTTACCGTTGTCCAATCGATCCCAAATTTTGCATACATACTGACATCCAGGCACAATGCATGCCTGAATCAAAATCGCCATCAATCAATTAATTAATAATTGGTATGGAAGCCTTATTCCACGAGTGCTTTGCAAACAGGTTTTTGTAAAAAAAAATGTTTTGTTAATACCAACGTAGGAGTTGACACTTCGAACCCTGCCTGGAACATTTTTTTTGTACGATTTTTATTCCTTCTTTAAGGTAAACAGTCACATCAAATGCTTTGGTGTGTTTACAAAAGTTGTTTATTATGATGTAGTACATCCAATGGGACAATGCATGGATAGGCAATGGCAGAGTATGCATAATTGAGTGTCACACAATTTAAGAACTTGAACGAATCTGCAGACGATCAACAGGATCAAGAAATGTTCAATTCACCATCAACTTCATAGATGTTAACCAAACATTACATTGCCGATCCAGGAATGCGATAAGAAGCAGATTCATCAGCACATCTACGAGAGGCAATGTAAGAAAATATGGCAGCACAAGTTGAATCGATGCCTGTACAAACATCAGTCATGGCTTCGATAGATTGTGATCAGCCAATTGTGGAAGATGAATACGAAGTCTCTGATAATACTCACGAAATAAGGCGTAAAACAACCAACAACATTCTGAACGAAGCACATTAATTAAAAGCTGAACAGTTTGCATGGTTCTACCCCTTCCAAAATGAATCAATGGACTCAAAAGAAGTAAAAGCTGTCAGAATCACTCAATTGGACTAATTTCAATTCAGAATTATGCGTAGTGATACACAATTTCAACGAAACTACTACCTCTTCTATCAGTGTTCGAGTATTATAGCATCCAATCTAACATCTAATCTTCTGAAAAGAAGGTTCAAGGACAAGAAGCTAGAGTAGAAGATCTTGACCTCTACCTTAACCTTCGAGGATCAGCTGCATATTGGCAAACAGTGCTGAATGAATTGATCAGACAAATAAGTTCAATAGGACCACCAACATCCTTCGCGACATTCAGTTGCAATAATTTGAATTGCCTTGATATGCGCAAGTCACTCTTAATAGCTGATGAAAGACCCGATGAAGATCCAAATGAACTCAGTATATATGCCACACAACGATTGATCTAACATTATGCTGTCATAGTCACTCGACGCTTCATTATTCGATTGAATGCACTTATGTAATTCTTGACAAATAATCATGAAGTGTTTAATGGTCGATTGAAGGATTACTGCTGGCGAATCGAGTTCCGAAATCGTGCAAGTCCACATCTACACATGCTGGTGTGGATAGACGATCATCCCTCATTCAATATACCTGATGGAATCAAACAAATTGATCTAGTGTGCACAGCTAAAAACTCTGACGGGAGTTCTGAGCTATAAGAGCTCGTTAAAAAGTGTCAGCTTCACCATCATACTAACCATAGCCTTAAACTATTTTTAAAAACAATCAAACAATAGTCCTTGTGAAAAATTCATTGTTAAAATAAAGACTACAAATAATACAATTAAACTCCTTAAATTTTTTTTTTAAACAACGGTTTTATTGAAAAGTGCACTGAAAAGTAAAACAAAAATTCAGCCGTCACCAGCTGATCAGAATATTTTTCGACATTTGTAGCTAAAACAAAACCGTGGGGCGCTCGTCTAATATCACTTATCTTCAACAATGACTAAGAATTGATAAAGAAAGTTATCAACAAATGTTACTCAATAGCATAACAAATTAAGCAACCATTGGAAAGATGTTCTGAATCGAACCAAACATTAAACTAATTATCAATGGTACAGTATATTTTTTCAAGTAGTGGTATCCCAAACTTTCGCAGCTGCTTAAATTCCCCTTTTCACGCCATCAATATGTAAACTCCCCCCCTCACCGGTCTGCACATGTTCACCCCCTCTACACCGTTCACCATGCTAAGTCCGCCAATTGAATGCTAATTTTTATGCTAATTCCTTTGTCAAGGCACCTTAATTCCTCTCACACAAGCTTAAAGGTCGCGGTCTGAGCTTGGCTGTGTTCACTCCAGCGCTGTCCTCGAGACAGTCTGGTCCCTTCACCTGATGAAGGCCACTTGTGTTGTGGCCGAAACGTCGTGATTTTTTTTTACCTACGTGACTTTACCGAATAGAACGAAAGTATGGATCCTTGCAGTCACGAAAGCTTCAAATCTAGAATATCACATTTCTAATAACAATGCCATGATGGTACGTAGTTGGTTGACATGGCTTGATGTGTTAGTAGCACTTTTGGAATCATCTAACCTATTCCATGCTAAAATTATAGTATTTAGGTTGTGAAGAGTTCGAACAAACTATAATACGACATAGCTTCTAGTGTGCCTTTGTAAACTAAAGTCTCACAATATGACGGAAGTGCTATCTGATTTCAAAATACAAAGGTAAGGTCCTAGGCAATGTAGAATATGCATGATATGGAATATCACCTATTAATAATAAAAAGCCTAGTATGAAATTATAACAGAAAGTTCACCATTCTGCAAATCTTGAGCAATCTTTACTTATCAAAAGTGAAAACTTAACATAAGTAATAAGTATTTGGAGCAATTGAAACGCACATGTCAACTTGATTATGATAGGGAAATAAAAACATGCATAAATAATAGATAAAATAATTACAATTACAAAGACTTGACAAATACCTTCGAAATAATTTGTTACAAAGTTACTACGCTTTTATTATATGTTGGGATAACCAAAGAAAATGTTTATTATCTATATTTCGCAATTATATCTACATGTCATTTATGTACTTATTTTCCCTTCGACTAATATACTCTCACCAAGAATAGAAGTTGCCATAGGAAGGTGAAATTTGTTTTATGGGTTTTGGTATACTTTTCATCACTTTGCGGTCAACTGTTCTTAAAAAAAGCAGTTCAACGCGGATACGAGTAGAAAGAGCTAGCAATACGGAATTTGTAATTATACTCAAAACACTTGCAAATGTTCTACACTTCATGAAAACTTAAATTACATAATTATCAACATTTTCCCTTCTACTGCTAATGATTGACAATAATTTTGACATGCATTGTATCACACAAATAAACTTTTATTAAACTTAAACATTTTAAAGAAACTCATGCATACAAATATTAAAGGAGCGCCCCACGGTTTTATGATTAAGTTACAAATGTCGAATAATATTCTGATCAGCTGGTGACGGCTGAAAACAAATAGTTTTCACTTTTCAGTGCAATTAAAATTAAACCGTTGTTTAATTTTAAATACAACTTTTTTTAAAGGAGTTTATGTTTTGTGTGCAAGGTGTGGTTCGTGCTGAAGCTTTATAATTTGTGCAGCTTCTCCCGGGCGGGATTGTATCAGCTCTGGGTTGGCCAAGATTGGGTTTCAATAAAACTCCAAGCAACCACCACAGCCAGGAGAGATAGTCATCGGCATAGCTTATCAGGCTCTTTCCAAAAAAAACGTTTATTTTTTTAAACTGTAAAAAAACTACGTATATACATCATTGTATAGATAGTACTCTTTGTTTTTTTCGGTAAAGTCACGTAGGTAGAAATAAAATAAACAAAATTCTACCTTTGTGACTTTACCGAAAGCACCAAGAGTATGGATTCCTGCAGTCACGAAAGCTTCAAATCAAGAAGAACAAGATTGTATAGTGTATTAGAAAGTAAATATTGTGCAATTGCGTACATATATACAAATCATGAATTTATTTATGAACACTAACTTGCAAACAATATAGAGAAGGCTAACGTTTCAAGTAATACCTCTTTCTCTAGAGCAGAGCATCGGGTGAGCGCAGAGAGGCAGTGGAGACGCGTCCACACACTGCACAACTGCATTACACTGCACAATGCACCCACTGCGACACACTGCACGAAATGTGGCACACTGCACACACTGTGGCACACCACGTTGGCACACTGTGGCACACACTGTGACACACTGCACACACTGTGGCACACTGCACACACTGTGACACACTGTGTGCAGTGTGCACACACTGTGACACACTGCACACACTGTGGCACACTGCACACACTGTGACACACTGCACGTTGGCACACTACACGTTGGCACACTACACGTTGGCACACTGCACACACTGTGGCACACCACGTTGGCACACTGTGGCACACACTGTGGCACACTGCACACACTGTGACACACTGCACGTTGGCACACTACACGTTGGCACACTGCACACACTGTGACACTGCACGTTGGCACACTACACGTTGGCACACTGCACGTTGGCACACTGCACCACACTGACACACTGTGTGCAGTGTGCACACACTGTGGCACACTGCACACACTGTGGCACACCACGTTGGCACACTGTGGCACACACTGTGACACACTGCACAAACTGCAGCACACTGTACACACTGTGACACACTGCACGTTGGCACACTACACGTTGGCACACTGCACGTTGGCACACTGCACACACACTCACACACTGTGCGCAGCGTGCACACACTGTGGCACACTGCGTCACACTGCACTGAATGCACACACTTCATCACAATGCACACACTGCGGACCCAGTGCAGCATTTTTCCTTCAACTAAACATTTGTGAGATGCATTTGAGGGGAACAAATCTGGGTAATGATGAAGTGTGGTGACAGCCTTCAGGGTCATTGATCTCAACTGACTTCAGTGCTCTTAACCCTGGCCTTGACTATTGGCCTCGTGAGCTTTGGCCTATGAAGTGCAGTCTCGAATCATATCACGTACTCTGCCGATTACAGCAGAATCAATAATTAAACAAACTAGAATATTAATGCTGTCATGTAATTATCAAACCAGCAATCACCCCGAAAAACATGTTTCAAAGCACTGCGTATCTGAATTGTGAACAGCTAGGTATTTACCACTGTCATGATTTGAGTTCGGTGTTTCAT